ATGGACTTAGCATAGGAGCCACCTTGAGAAAAATCTAGAGACTAACATAGTAATTTAAGTACTAATAGCTTTATCTATTTTTCAAAGACAGCATAGTGGAATTTTATCATTTTGAATCATGTTTTAGAGTAAAAATCAAACTTTAATGTAAATTGGAGCATAAACTAAATTGTTATTATAATTTAGAAATTATTCTTTTTAAAAATCCAATTTTGATTGGACTCAGCTCAAACTTTCTATGCAACATACATGTAAATACATGTATATGTATCAGGAAAAAAATGTAAAAAATGAAGAATTAAAGTTTTGGCAAAATTTGACCCGTGATCATGTACAGCTGTACAGGTACTTTGACCAAACTTTGAGCAACTTTAAAAATTGAAAATAATTCAATTTCAATCAGAATCAGCTCAAACTTTCTACTTAACTTTAAAATCCCTGGCTATAATTAATTTTTGCTAATAAATAACACACAGAGTGAAAATGGACATTAACTCATAATGTACATGTACATGTATGTTACTTTCTCACCTCTCATTGAAGTTGGGCTACCTACAGTCTCATGTGCTTCCTTCAGTTCCTTTTCAGTGTCTGAGTATTTCTTATTCAGTTTCCTCATTTCCAGTACCTTCCTCTCTAAGAGATCAGCACACTCGGCACATTCAATCTTAACAACTGCCAGTTCCCACAGGAGGCTCTCAATGTCAAGAGAGAGTGAGAGGGGAGGGGTCTGCCCATGAGGTTTCTTGTAGTGTGAGAGTTTCTTCCTTAGCAGTTGCCTATACCTACACATTCGGTACATATGTACAGGAAAAGGCATTATGTAACATTACTATAGCTACACAATGTAATATATATGTGCAGCATTATTTATGCATTTCAAAAATTTGTACACTAAGATGCACATGTATATGCAATATGTCTCAAAAGTCTGTGTACATGTACATGTCAGTACATTTAATCATTTTAATGATGCCATTGTAAGAGGATTGTCTCATTCCCTCACATTCAATATCACACCCTCTACCTGTGAGTTCTGTTCTTTATTTCCTTTTCCAATTGAAACCAGTAATGAGGTGGAGGCTGATTGAGGAGTGCCTCATAGCAACAGAGCAGATATACATGTACTCCTGTCTCTAAAATCTATTAAGATAATGGAGACAAATATTTTATTCAATGGGCTTCAGGAGTGTTTGACCAAAATTTTTAGAGTAAAAAGAGAGAAAGAGGGAGAGAGAGAGATAAAAAATATCAAAGATAAAATGAAGAGATAAAGCGTAATAAAGAAGAGATACTGTAGACTACAGGAAATTCAACTATGAATTTATAAGTTCATTTACACGTGCACTATTCTTGCAATATATATAATAGATACATGTAAATTTATTCAATTATTTTATTCAAGGATCAGGCCCTCCTGACTAGTTGTTTTGTGCTGCTGCTTCCATTGCCTAAGCTTGCTGGAATGCTGCCTAATAAAGACAAGTCTGTTTCTTGAAGGAGGTGATGCTGGATATGTTATTTATTCCACAAACCAGCCTGTCTTTGTGTTGTAAATGGATATGTTGATTGGATTAACACCAATTTGCACTTATATTCTCAACACAAACAATGATAAAAAGGAGAGTGAAGAGAGGAGAGAGAGAAACACACGGGAGAGTAATTAGTAAAAAGACCAAGAGCATGCACACACTAAGAAATATATATAAGAATAACCACAGAAGGTTCTAGAAGGGAGAGCACATGTAAAACCACAACTATAATTACATTTACTAGTATATAAAATAGAATAATAACATAATTAATTGCATGGAGAGTACAGTGTATGCATGTACATTGTAAGCATAATATCAAGCTACCACACTTTGCATGATCATTGCATTTAGTGAGTCTCCAAAAGCACAATGTTCTCTGAGCTCTGCCACATATGTGGCACTATTTAATCAGGTTTCCTCACTCTTGTAAGGAAGTTGCATTTCTGAGTACTAGGGGGACAGTCTGGGATTGAAATGCATGATGCCTCAGCTTGTCTGTCATGTCCTTCAAGTGGTACATCATTCTCTTGTGGTGATTTAGGCTGCAACAACCTCTTGAGTAGTTCATGAACAGGTACGAGCACTGATGACTGTGATAAAAATATTTGTATTACTGTCATCGGTGCTTCTACCTATATGAACTACTTTAGAGCTTGTTGCAGCCTAATAGCCTCAGCTTTCTGGACACATGATCATTTGTTATTCCATGGCCTTGAAGTAGAACTCAAGCTGTTCTGCACAGCCAAGAGTTTGTGATTGAATCATGGATGATGTCAGTCATGATTTGGCCTAATGGATCCTGAATCATGGATTTTGGGCAGCTATAAGATTTCAATGAGCCTAGCTTGATCTATCAGCCTTGATACAGTTATGCTGGAATTCATACTGGTTCAGCCAGAAACATGCATGATTCAGCAATGATACCGTCAGACTGTACCAATACTGTGATCAGGATTGATTCATTGATTTTGGGCATGCAATGCATGTCTTGTATTATAGCTACATGCTAACTCTTGGCTGTGTATGTAGGATGTCCACAAATCCTTAGTAGCATCAAACAGTGACATTTTCCCATGCATTGCCATACTCCGCTGAAGTTAGCAGCACATTTTGCAGCAGCACATTCCTCACTTCAAATTGATTAAATTTTTGTGGTCGAAGCCTTATAACAAGGGTGGGGCTGGATTAGAACTCGGGTGGAGCTGGTTGCTGCGCTCGAGCGATCATAATTACTGTTTATACCGATAGATTATAAGATGTTCTTTTATAGGACAAAAAAAGCAAGTCAAGAGAACACTTAAGGTTGCTAGATTAATATCTGTTGTTCTTTTTATAGGACAAAAAGTGTAGGTCAAGAGAATAATATTTTGTGACTTTTTTTGATAGCTACGTTAAAGAATTAATACAAAAGGACTATCAGGCACGATAGTATCTATGCAGGCACTTGACCATAAGTGCAAGATGAAGATTGTTTACATCACATATCTGATATCATGAATTGTGACATTTTAAGCATCATTATTTTATTATTATTACTATATAATGTTTTACAACACACAGGACAAGTGGAAGGGAGAGTAAGATATGAGACTTAGAGAGGGTTGAGTTTGTTCCACAGTCGGACAATTCTATTGAAATAAATGTAAAAAGCGAGTATGATGTTTAAGTATAGTTGTGAATCAGTTT